GCACTTGTTCGACACTTACTTTCCTTTCGTTTTAGGTACCAAAGTGCGGTCAGAAGCCCTGCCTAAACGGCGGCGTGTGTCTAAAAACCGCCACTCCCGTATGCAAATGCGCTGCGGGATTTGAAGGCGCGTTTTGTGAGAAGGCAGTACCTGCTTGTGACAGTAGCTTCTGCCTCAACGGTGGTACATGCGAATTCAGCAATGCCTCCTCCTCCTTTCTCATCTGCGTCTGCCCTCCTGGTTTCTCGGGTGAGTCTACACCTTCTCTGGAAACTGATTCCCTATTCTGTTTTATCAGTCTTAAAAGGCTTCTGGGACGTAGGTACTGGAACATACTGTTACTTATTAGCTGTCATCAGCCAGCCATACCAAACTCCAGGCGTTGCGTCACTCGCAGTTAGAGGTCATGGGTTCGAGCCTCGGGTGGTGTAACATCTGGGATTTGGTATGGCTGGCTGATGACAGCTGATCAGCCAGAAACGGCCATTCCAGTCTTCCTGATCCTTCTGTGTTTGCTGCCATCTCGGACCAAACAACCATCGAACTAAACACCCCACGGAAGCCTTTTTAAAAAAATCTAACGGCATTTTTTACTTAAGATTGCACTCTACGTGAACGGAGCAGTCAAAGTACCCTGTTTTGGTTGTTTGATCCGAAGAATTTCTGGACGCTTTCGGACCAAAATCCATGGAGGTTGCTAAGGTCCTATTGCATGTATTACCTAATAAGTCATTCGTCATCACTTGGAAGTATGACTTGCTACAGTAAGATTTTAACTTTAACTTATCCCTTATCATTAAAAAAGTCAACAACTTACGATTTATTGTTGTTGCAAAAAATGCAACTTGAAAACCTGCTGCCATCTCGGACCAAACACCCGAAAGAGGGTAGGCGAACTGAAGGATTTGTACAAGTGTATGAGTTCTCAAATAATTTAATCGGGCTAATAAACTGGTCGAAAGTCATTCAAGGCAGTCAACAGATGGTGAATTCAAGCCACGCGTGGCGCAACACCTGGGCTTGGATATGGCTGGCTGATGACGACTAATAAGTCCGAAATGGTCATTCCAGTCTCCCTGGTCATCGTCGGTTATGCTTTCCTGCCTCCACTACAGTAAGGTGGAGAAGTCCTGAAAAATGTTTTAAAGTTTGCGAAAAATTGATAAACACTCGCAAAACGACATACACGCATGTACGAAAACGTGAAAAAAAGGATGAACAACTTTAGATAAATTTGTTCCTTAAAAGAAATAGAAGAAGTCCTAATTGTTTGCTAAAATAACATTTTCTTATCTAGCCCCAAGTTCCGGAGACGTAAAAATAGCTATAAATGAGAAGAATGGATTTAAATCTTTTGTTAAATTGAATGTATAGCCGTATCAGTTTCTCTATATAAAAATCAGTTTTCGTTTGTTAGAATAATTCAACCATATAGGCCTTATCGATTTACAATTACTTACAAAACTGACCTTTGAATTCCGACAAATTTTCGACGATTTCCTGTGTTTTGAAGATTTGGTTCGTAAACAAATTCTGCTCGATATTCCTCTCAAAATTTCGAAAATAACAGTCATATTAAAAGCATTTATTGAAAAAATGAGTTTTTGATATTAGTTCTAATGAATATGGCCATGAAGGCCAGATTTAAAAATTCACCCAAACAGCGAAATCCATTGTCGAGCAAAAAGAATGTCCACAACAAAGTCTGATATTGTTATTCCCGAGATTAATAAAAAAACTGTCTATAATAGGTTACCTCCTAAAAAAACCTTTAATTGGGTATCCAACTGACGAACCTCTGCGCACGTTACCATTTTCCAAGGTAATGTCAAAAGGAAAATGGAGAATTTTGACAAGTTTTTTTAAAAATTTAGCTGAAGATGGATAATACGATTTGGCTGGAAATGCAAGAACTTACTTTCCTCTTTATATTGGAGTATTTTCCACCATATTGAATTACTTCCACGCTCTGTTCTACGCTTGCGAATGCAAAAAGAGTCGCAGAATTTCTACTGAGATATGGCAATAATTATTAATCTTCTGTTTGATCTGTTTCTAAATTACGCATAAGCGGAAATTATAGTGTACAAAAAGTATATCTCTACATGACTTCGATTTGATAAGATGTGATTTTACCCTCACCTTCAGCTTGTTCCTTGTTTCTAAAAATCAGTGCGATTCCTTAGGATTGGCTTCACTTGCATTTGAGTAACCTCCACCTAAATTTTCCAGTTTTGGAAGGGATATGTTTGAGACCTTTCTTACTTATTTTGGCATTCTCTCATGGCATAATGCATATTAACAAGGAGTTTGGTTTTGTCGTACTTAATAGCATAGGAAATACCCTCAATGTCGGGTTTTCTATTATTTCGCCAAAATTAATGCCTATGACCGTCGATAAACTAAACTAAAAAAGGAAGTTTTCTTCACTAAAAGGCCTTCTCAGGATTAAATCCAGAGAATGCGGAAAGCGGTCCCGCCCCCCTCCGATTCGTTTTGACCGCAAGATGTAACACCCGGGGTCCGTCTGTTTCAACGATGAACCCAGGAAGGGCGTTTGTACTGGCATTCATACAGCGAAGAGCGGTCAGTCATCGGCAGGACTTCGCCTATAAAGAAAGAGAGATGAGAATGATTATCTGCTTGTGTGATTGTCGTTGGGATAAAATTTAATTTGGTCTTTGACATTGCTCTAGTTACTAGAGTACTGCTCGTAATTCCAGATCAGAACAATCAGGACAGATAGGGGAAGTTAACTTCCTACGCGGTAGACAAGTTTATAGAAGGCGGGAAGACGCTCTCTGGGACCAGCATTTTATTTGTCCGACGTTTCGAACTCTTACGCGAGCTCATTGCCACCGTGTATTTAGCTCAAATCTGCCCGGAATGACCTTCAGCTCTGCTATCGATTTTTTTTCGCGTAATGCGAGATAAGCACCAGGAAGATCGATATGCCTGTTAATTGAATCTGCGTGCGAGCGCCATGCCTCCTCGTTTATCCTCGTTTCTTTGCAAAAGCCCGGCCTATCATGCGCGCAGCTGCCTTAAAATGGGCTCCTATGCTCAGTCCAGTTATATAAGATGGATTGCCGACTTGCTAGCTGTTGCGCGGCCCGCTTCTCTGCACCGAATGGTATGCTTATCGGTATGTGTCTCCAGCCTAGCCTACCGCGGGTATAAGTTTGCGGGATTTCTACTGTTGAGCAATGTTAGACTTGCAGAATCGTCGGGCAAGGAATTTGGTGGTATCGAAAATTAAGAGGAGAATTTTAGTGTGATTATGACTGTTCTACAACATTTCAATCAGGACAAAAAAGGAAACACCATCAATAGCACCTTCGAACACAGTCATGAAATTCTCTCGATGAATCCGAAACAGTGATGCCTGATCTTAGTGCCTTGAGCTAAGCTGCCAATATATAGCAACAAAATCTTTTTAATTGATAAATACCTTCGTCAGTTTATTGAGCGTAAACACTGATGCAATCTTGAAGGATTCCTTTTCGGGCTTCAGGCATCAGTTTATTCCTTCCAGATTGATATCTGCATTTCATTTGGAATGAAATCGCTGCCTCCTGGTGAGCTGATTCAGCTGCCGACTCTTCGCCTTGCAGGATCACTGGGTTTTCTTTCCTTTTTGGTGGTCATTTTTTTTCGCTGCGGGTAGCGCTCCCCGTGCGTGTCCACGATTAAGAGGCAACATCTCACCGTTCACGTAGACCAGTAGCAGCAGCACCCACGCACACACGCTAATCAACGTAAATCACGTCACATTCACTGCGACAGAAGTCGGCAGCAG